AAATCACCTCCTTGTTTTCCATGTGTTTTAGAATGATTTCCAGGTGGATCTGCTCCCTGATCTTGCCAGGCACAGAGGTGAGACTGACTGGCCTGTAGTTCCCTGGGTCCTCAAGCTCCTGTGATTTCTCTGCTGGAAGCTCCCAGCCAACCTCCTTCTATAGCTGCACTACAGCACTTAAATTAAAAAAATGGCTCATTTTGACCAATCTATCTAAAGAAGTCTCAACCCTTCCATTTGCATGCTTTCCACTCAATATGTTTCTTAACAGACAACTGGAATTTCAATTTACTTAAATTTTTGAAGAAAAGTCTAAGCTTTAAATAGTTTCCCAATTTGCAGAAAAAGCTGCACTTCCGTTTGCTAACAGAGTCTGCAGTTTGGGTTTCTGGCCAGACTTTCCACTAGGAAAGAATAAAAGACATTTTTGAAGCAGTTCTAGCCTCAGGTTCTTGGAATGAAAAAGCATCTGTGTGTATGCATTTGAGTGCTTAGAATGAATACCCTGCTCTTTACAAGCAAACCTTTTCACCTTATGAAAAACTTGATTCACTATGACCTCTTGCTGAGTGAAGAATAAAATGCAAGTCATCAGCTGTATGGGTATTCCAGCCCTTAGTCTGTCCTGAAAATTACTTCAGGAAGGGAAAGACAAAGGAACAATTCTATTTTGGTCTCCTTTCCATCACAATATACAAAGAGAGGCAAAATCGGAACTTTCTGCATATAATTTTCTATTTCATCCTTCTCTAGACGATGCATTTCATAGTGCATATGCTGTTCAATGGACTTAGCCACAACCAGTGAATACCAAGAGCTTCAAGAACATATGTGAAGCAAACACAAAAATGTGAGTCCGGATACATGGCAAGAGCAGGTAAAGTTGTGATTTCAACTGCCTTTACAGGATCCCTGTCCTCAGAGGGCAGTCTGCATGTGCAAATTTCCAATGTTGGGCTTAAGAAAATGTTGCTCCAAACTGTATACTTTTTTTAACCTATAAAAGCTTTAAAAGAAGCCTTACTGCAGCTTCCTGTGCAATCATTTGATAGTCTAGCAGCCGTATTCATGACAACCCATGCCATATGCTCACCTCTGCCATCCCTTCCACTGGCTTTTGTTTGTCCACTTGTAGGATGCCATTCTTCGCCGTGCGAGACACTCGCAGCTCATGCCATTGACCCAGACTGACAGGTTCTTCACTCCTGTTTGAAGAGGAAGAAAGCTTTCAAGTATTTTATGCTTTTTCCTTTCTGGTAATTTCAAATACTGTTGTCACTTTAAAAAGTCAAGTCCACTGGATGATTTTCTGAATAAAAAATAAAAATAAATCACTGTGTTTCTTTCCTTAAAAGGAAGTAATGTAATTTCTGAGTCCCATTGGTAAAGGAAAGTAAGACCATGTTCCTATAGCAAATAACCAGCACTTTACTTTTATTTGTAAATGAAACATTTCTATAATCAGCATGCGCCTTATCTACCACTGAGGATTTTTTTTTTTATTTTGCTCAGTCATTATAATGCATAAAGGCAAATTTTTGCCTCAGCTGTACATCCTCCGTCACAATGACATAAGCCTGGAGACAAAGCTTCCCGCTTAATGGTCATCTAGTCCCACATTCTGCATTCTCTTCTAAAACAGAACTACTTTGTTTTGGCTTATCAGCTCTATTTATGCAGCCTGTTACAGTGACAGCTACACACACACACACACGTGGCCCATCTGCTGTACATTAAGGGGAAGTAACTAAAATATGATCCTAATGATATGATGAGATCCTGGCTAGGAACAATAATCCCCAGTTGTGCCAAGTATTCACCAGTCTCAAAGGAAGCAATTTTAAACTGTTCTTACAATCTTTATTAGTTCAGCATTAATATGAATAGCAGCCTGTAAAAAGGGCAAAGCCACATTCCTCTTTACAAGTTCTACAGAACTTTGTATCTTGTTTTCAAATGTCATTTTACTACACTGGTGAAACATTTTATGTCTAAATGTTATCTTGCAGCTCTTCACCCTGGAAAAATGTTTGATCCCCTTGTCAAGCTGGAAAATTCAGAAACTGTGTTATATGGGACAACTGTAGACTTTCTAGCTTTTAGTGAAAAAATACAAAATTGTTTTGGGTGAAATAATGTTTTGTATTTTCAGGCTACTTACATTTTAAAATGAAAAAAAAATCATGATTTGAAATAGTGAGTCAATAGTGATTCAAATGCTGATTAAAAAAAAAAAAAGGTGGATCATTTACTCCTCCAAATTTTCTCAAAGCCCGTTTTCATCTATTTGGATGATGCTGGCAATATTACTTTGACACTTGGTTCAGAAAATTCCATAAAAAAATTACTGAGCAATACCATTCACATGTCCTTTATCATCTGCAGAGGTATTTAGGATTTAACTACCTTGGGCAAATCAATAGGTAACAGAATTTAATCATCGTGAAAAAGTCAATATATGCATATAAAGGAACCAGATAGGTTTGGCTACCTAGTAAGTAGCAATACATGCATTTTATCTCCTCTGCTGATTAGGTCATCATCATGCTAACACTTCTGCTCTCTAGATTTAATTACAATTAGGGAAGATTAAGCCTTGCAGACTCATCACTTCAGAACTGCATGCTATTTCTTGGATTCAAAGGCTTTTTGAAACCAGCATACGTTCGGTAATGCTTTCTGCAGGCATTTGAACACTTCCGGCTTTCATGTGCTGTGGGGTTAAGGATTATGTTTCCTCATGTAAACCAAACCTTAAAAAAATATACCAAATGATGAAGATCTTGATCCTGCAAATGCCTGGCCAAGGAAATCCCAGGGGACAACAAATTCTCCTCTGAGACCTCTTGGTAAATAGCTCAGGTTCTGCATCCATCTGTCAGTTCAGCATCCCTGCTTCTCCCAGAGCCCCCTTGTACACCCTGCTGCTTCCATCCTGGGACACTTCCGGCAAAACTCAAACTTCACCAACGTCAGCTTTCCTAGTGTTGCTGCTGACATACACACACGAGCTTGCCTCACCCTTAATCATAAGGACACTATAATTGTGTTCTAATAATATTATAATATTTAACAGCCTGGTCCTATGGAAGAGACAGGATGACTATTTAGGACGAGTTACATCCCCACTTAGGACAAAGGGTAGGTGTGAAGCAGTTTGATAAAGATCAAGGCAGACTTTTAAGTGGATATTGACTAAGCAGGCATGAAAAACAGAGAATTTACTTATTTAATCACTGACAGAGCTGATGACAGGGTGGGAGTTGCACACGTTACCTAGACAAAGGAGCTGAACAGGGCATCCTGACAACTTTGAACCAAGCCTGCTGGTCTCATCAATCTCCCCCATTACTCAGTTACTACGCCACACTCTTCTTTCCCAGTGCACATGCCGCAGGTTCTAGTCAGCATCTTTTTCACTCTTCCTTTCCAATAGAAAGGGGCGGTTTCCACTCCCAGGCATGTTCTTGTGGCTCTTGCCACATTTTACAAGTCCACATCTCAGTCAAACTGCAGTCAAAGGTGTTTTGAAGTGCTACAGTATTCTTTGGGGGGAAAGAAATTATGTCTACTTTAATGTCCCAGCAATGGGAATTAGACGGCTGTAATCAGAAAAAGATTGAAGGTTGTTGTAAGAAGGGCCATTTTAGGTTGGAGCAAAGGTCTCTGACATTAGCTATTTCTGCTGCTTTTCAGCAAGAGGAAAGAACAGGGCAAGTATGGAGTGATTCTTCCCCTGATATATCCGCCCAGCTTCTGGCAACTTGTCATTTAGCAATTTCCTGAGTCAGAGGCTGCATCCGTACAATTGTGTTTGATCTCCCTCAATGGAGCTTTCTTCAAATTTCTTTAAATTTTTTTTTTAACCTATTTATAGTTCTGGCATCTGTAACATGCTGTGACAATTAGTTTCCACAACTTATTTATGTGCTGTCTGACCAAAAAAAAAAAAGTCTTAAATTTTTTGCTATTTTTTGGTTTGCAGTTTCACTGGTATCTTACTAATACTTTCATATTGAAAAAAAAACCAAAACCAACCAAACAAAACAAACAAACAAACAAAAAACCAAACAAAAACCCAAGCCCCAGAATAATCATTCCTCATTTACCTTCATGTCATTCATAATTTAAAAACCTTTATCGTACTTCCCTCAAACTGGTTTTTTTTCAGGTTGAAGGGTCCTGCTGTATTTGTGGAAACTGTTTCTTTTCCTCCCCAGGATGTCAACACTACCCTTTCTTTCTTTATTTTGTTAATTTCTTCTGAAATAAAGTGACCAGAATGGCAGCAAGTTTTCAAGACAGAGTGTATTGTGGATTTTTGCCGAGGTACTGTTCCTTATTCTATTCCTAACTATTCTCTGCATTGTACTTCCATTTCTGTATTTGTCTCTAAGCAGTTGGCTGTGCTTTCGCTTAACTACCCATAATGACACCAGGATCTTTCTCGATCTGACAACACTAACTGCATTGCCACAGCTGTGGATTGTTAGGGTTGTGCATTTTGCATTTTCTCCCTTGCACTTTCATCTCTCACTTTGTCATCTGAATGGGTTTGTTTGCTTGAGTCCTCATTCGGTGGAAAATCAGTACATTTCTCCCCATTGCAGTTTAGCCAAAGTTCCTGATGTCCATCCACAGGAAACATATGGTGTGCAAGACATTACACATTTTGCATAAGCTTTAGATAGACTGTTTCTAAATATTAGGTCAGCCTGGTCAAGCTGGCAGCCTCTTGGACCACATCGAAGGTACTGAGGGCCTCTGTTTGACCCACTGCCTTTTCAGAAGAGTCCAGGGAATAGCTGCCCAGAGACTGGGCATCCAGTTACAGAAAGAGAGACAGCGTAGCCCTTTTTGAGCCATTTCATTGCTCCTATCCTAGACATTAATTTTAGGATAATTTTAGAAACATTCTCAGAAATTCTGACTTTGTCTGGGGGCCTGGGTGACTTGTTTAAGCCATATATTTATGTTTTAGACTGCTTAAGTTACGTAAATTTGGATTAGCCTCAGATCCCCTAAAACCAACACAGTGAGGAAGGAGGACTCATGGAGGTGTGTCTTCATGTGACACCTCCAGCGCAGTTCTTACTGCCTAGAACTGGGTACTGGGGAGGAGGATGCTCATATAAGCACCGATATTGTGCAAACCTGTGGCTAGAAAGTATATACATAAATTATTTCTACATCTCCTAATTAGCTATGGTACAGTGTCATGGAGGCAAGAAGGGAACTTCTGCAACAACATGCAGAAGCAAAAGTAATATCTGCAATAAGACCGTGGCATGACATGGTGACACCCATAATAAAGCTTTGAAACATAAACTTAAATTGGAAGAAAATCCTGTCCCCTTGAATTCAGTTCTAGTGTTGCTGTGCTTCCTTAGAAGAGGTAGACATTAGGAATGATGGGCTCCCACACCTCAGTACAGGCTATTAGTCTTTCCAGCCCACTCAGCTCCTGGATGAGCACCCTGGCACTGTTGGAAAGGAAACACAAGCAACGCTGTTTACCTGATGACAGCCGTTCCTGAGCCACAGTCGAACCTGAACTCCACGTAACCAGCCACCATGTTAATGGAGAGGAAGTCCTTGCTGTCTGTGTCGTAGCTGTACAAAAGGACACCAGTCTCTAAATCTGGACGAAATGTCATCTCAAACTCCATGAAGGAAAGGTAATTCTGTGGTTCCAAGGGCCAGGGTGTGCTAGCAAATGACCTTAAGGACTCGTTGAACTGAGGTATGGCCAAGGTGAGTGCTGGAAATCCAGAATACACAAGCAGGTCACTTGAGGCTCAAAGGTCAGGGGTTGACTCCTACCAAAACCTGTCAGTTCCCTTTGTTAGGTAATTAAAGCTAATGTCAAGAAAAACAGCTTAAAATTTTGCCTCCCATATTAAAATATTTTTTTAGCCTAGTCCACACTGCTTCCCTCCTTAATCTCTTCCTTTTTAAGGGATGTATTTGTATCATAAAGCTCTGTGCTCCTTTTCTTTAGTGGTTCACCACTGTGTTTTTGCAAACTAGCAAGCACACAGTGGGTGGTGGCATTTCTGCAGCACAGAAAATAATGCTTTATGTATTAGACTGTTGGTTTGTATCTC